AATGGTGGCAGGAACGATGTCAGAGGATCAGAGAGATGATGAAAGAGCAGTGTAGAAACCCCCATGATGCTCTGCTCTCTGTCTTTTCCTCTCTTTCCCTCTACTTCATGACTCATCAATCATCAGTGACACAACAGTCCCTGCTTGGCAATCAGGCCTCTTGCGTCTCTGCTCTCAAAGTGAGATATGGACCCTTTCTCTCCGTAGCAAGCAACGGGTTACAGGAGTGAAACAGCCAAGAGGTTTAAATTATTTCATGTGTCAAAGTATTTGATGAACCCCCCGCTGCCTGTAAAGTTACTTTCTTTTATTTCCTTTGAATAAATGAGGGGCCCAAAGACGTGTCCAAGACTTTAGATTAACTGCATGGCTCCTTGGAAAACTCTATTAGCATTCACTTACAAATCATCCTAGAAACAGCATTCACAAGTCCACTAGAGTTCACTTGGGACCGAGTGATGTAAATTTCCTCATTTGAAAGCGACCACAAGGGTCAGTGAAAACATCCGCGTGCCTGCTAACCAGGTAACGGACGTCAGAGAAGTTACAGGAGATGTGGTGTCTCCAGCATGTCCGGGTCCACAAAAGACTGTAATCGAAGCCTTGGTGTTATAGCAAGAGGGCAAAATCCCCTTATTTATCTCTATGCAGCATGCAGGAGACTTCATGTACCCTTAAAGACAATCACAGTTTAAATACAAGTTTCCCTATGTGTTTTCCATCAGCATGCAAGGAACATAAGGAGGGTAACCTTAGGATTAAGGAAGGTATGAAGGTAAAAACACCAAGTGGGTCGTTGTCACTGTAGATGGCTCTTATTGGCGTAATGGTGGGCAAGTGCACTGATGGCTTGTAAGTGCCTCCTGTCAAAAAGCACTCCACGGATCTGTTTTCTTTAAGGGCGCACACTGATAGACGGGAACACAATTATGTGAAACTGCATAACCCACATAAACAAACTCAGAGTTACCGGCACGCACATTCATAAGACTCGTTTAGTGTCTCCAGTCTTCTACACAGCCATTAGAAAGAGATAAACGCTGATGATGGCTCCCTGCACAGACTAAAGCAGGAAATCAATTCACTGTATGGGCAGGAAGTGTTGTATTTTTGCCCACTTCGCATTAAAAATTCTGCTGACTGAACGTTCCAGTGGCACCATAACGAACAGCATTGCAGTTCAGAAAAGCAATGATCGCGGGAGCAGCCTGCCCACCGGGTGCCCACGATTCACCTCTGCTCGTTTTTTTGGCTCGCTAGGGGCTCGAGTTGGTGAATCATTGCTTGTTGCACGGCGGGGACGAAGTGAGCCTTTCTCGCTCTCCGAGCCCATACCAATCTCCCATGTCTTCACACCTCTGTAGCCACTGGGCGAGTCGTAAATCTCCAACATTGCACCATCTTTTTGTTTCCATGACAATGCTCCGCAGATAATTTGCGCTGGGGTCTCCCCTGGGCGGATGTGTGCATTTGTGGGAGGAGGGGATTTCACCCCAGATTTAAAGTTCTAGAAGAGAAACACTCCCCAGTTCACCATTTTTAATTTAAAGAGGGAAGAAAGGACAGTTTCTTTCCCCATAAGAAAACCTGTTACCTTCCACTGCGTTTTCTTTTTCTTTTTTAACCTGTTCAACCTGGTCATCTTTGCTATTTAGCCACACTGGCACTTGTAATTTCTCTATTTACACACAGGCACACATAGAAGGATCCTCAGTAACGCTGCACTTAGCATGACTGTCACACTCAGGATGCCGATGGACACGGCTGATATGAGCTTTTCACTCCTTCACTGTACAGCAGAAAGCAGCTCACCACAACAAGCGTTGCTTAGAGACCATCTGTCAGTTCCCCACGGTCACCAGGCACTGTCGCCACGGTGACAGATGGACCTGCCTGTTGGAAGCCATCACTCCTCGCCGAGACCTAGTAGCACATACACACAGACACGCACTGTGGACAGACAACATAATCTGCTTAGTAATGGCTTCCGTTTAGTAACTGCTGGGTTGCCAGGTTGGTGCAACAATTTCTATCTGTTGCAGGGTCGTGTACAAGGTGTACTGCCTTTTGTCAGACTGTACCCACCTTTGGCAGCTTGTTTTGCTGAATTTTTTGCACACAGATTTTGACTTGGTGTGTCAGTGCTTCGATTTTTATGTATTGATTCTGTTAGTAACAGTTCTTACTTTAAACTGTGCTAGTTTTTGCCTAAAATTCTTTGTTGTGGTAAACTCAGGGTGTTCATATGAAAAGAAAACCAAGTCATCTTCCCTCAACTTCAGGTGTTTTATTTCCTCTGGCAATCAAACAAAAGTATTACTTCAAGCTACTTAAATTAATCTGTCACAGTCCTCAAAGATGCAGTAGAGTTCATTACGTTCCTGTCTTTGAAATTCACGCCGCTCTGTTGATATCTTCAATCATAAAAAAGAAAAATCCTAGTAGTTGGATTATTGGCTCTTACGAAAGAGTCTCGTGCCACTCGTGTTTAAGATTTGTTAAGCAGAGTAAAATGAGCAAAAGGGCCCACAGTGGTTCTGGTCCATTATTTGAGAGCTGGAGGCGCTGAGGATTTAGCTGAGCTCTCTCACTCAGGCTGTCAGTCTGCCGGCCAGGCCAAATTGCCCACCTGTCTAAAAATGCTCTTTCCCTCCTTGTGTGTGTAATTAGGACCGGAGGTTGGCCCAAACATTCACAATCCCTTCTGATCTGAGAGACGCACACAGATGTAAAGCTAACCTTTGCACAGTTGTGTTTTCCCTGTTTTTATTTGCTTTATGATTGAAACCGCCATTTATTTCAATAATTGATTTATCTCAGTTTTTCCTATCCGATGTAGTTTCTCCAAAAAGTTGGAATATTAAACAAAAGCATAAACTCTAAATGGAATTCATGCACTTGCAGATTTCAGTCTATTAAACTGGAATTTGATGTTCAAGTGAGGTTTGAGTCGAAGGCAACAAAAGACTGAGGAAGTTGTGGCACGCTTGTCAAAACACCTAGTGGAGTATCTTGCAACTAATTAGAGTACAGCATCATTAAAAGACTAGAAATATCGCTATGCAGCTTGCAAGCACAAAAATGAACGCCTGTCATATTGTTATTGTTTAAATAACAAACATATTCAGTTTGTCTTTCAATTTTTAAAGCTGTTAATCAAAAAAAGCAAGCAAAAAACATGTGCTGCACATTATGAAATTCTGAATTTTGTTAGGCTGCAGAGCCGCTAAGAGGCACTGAGAGGGAGCAGCGGCAGATCAATTGCAGTGGACAGATGAAGGATAGTAAAACACTGTCCTGAGTCCTTGACTGACAGCCTCCTCGGTCCAAAGAGAAAACCTTGGGATTCAGTGGGATTATGTCTAGTATGCATCCTTTTTTTTATTTATTTATTTTTTTATATCAGATTGTTTCGCACTTCTGAATGAACGATTCCTATCGATTTGAAAAGGGGAGTAGCGGGGAAAGAAGGAAGAACTGCAGACGCAACACAGCTGGAGCTGTCAGTTGTGAATGAACCCAGATGTCTGAGAGATAAAGAAGACAAGAGCGCGTGTGTGTGTGTGTGTGTGTGTGTGTGTGTAAGATGTTATCCTCTCATCTTCCCTAAAGGATTGACACACAGTAGTGGCCCATTTTCGCAGATGAAGCACAGCCTACTCTTGTGCGTGCTTTAACACATCTTTTGTATGTCAGAGGAGCTTGTGTTTGGCCAGCACTCCACTCGCTGCTGAACTGTAACGTTGTAGAGGGAAATAAAACCACACTTCTTGTATTTTCTTTCTTTCGCGCACTCCTCCACGCGTTCTCATATCCGTGACTTCACACTGCCGCTTTTTTCACACAGAGCCGAGGGAGGGAGCGATGTGTTTAAGGAGCGCATTTACCTGGTCGGAGCTGAGCTGTGTTGGTATTTCAGTAATCTGTCAGTCTTTTCCATCTGTGCGCGCGCTTTGTCGGGTACAACGATCTTGCTGCAAACGATATTGTCTGGTCACTGCTCACTTGGGCAGAAGCAGCGTGGCTGTCATACTTTAAGCACACCTTGATTTGTGTCAGAAGCCTGCCTGTGAGAGTGCATGTGTAGCTGCGTAGATGTTTACCAGCATGTGGGGGTGGGAGGGGAGGCTGGGATGGAGCGTACAGAAGAAGAAGAGGGAGGGAGGGTGATGATGCTGAGGGAAGAAAAGGGAGGGAGGGAGGACAGTGTGCAGTGAAGTAAGAGAGAGAGAGAGGAAGAGAGAGAGAAAGGAACAGGAAAAAAAGGAAAAGGCAGCAGGGAAGGGAAAGACTGGGAGGACGCGCCAACTGCCTATAGATGTTGGAGCCTTTGACAGCGGAGCGCGGTGCTCAGCGGACACAGGAAGATGGTCTCAGTAAGAGGGGAACTGACGGTTGCCTATAATTTAATGTTCAATATCTTGGACTCCTTCTCCATGGGTAATGCTACGGCCAGGAACTCCAGAGCAAAGCTTGCTTTTCTCCTCTTTGACAATCTTCTTTTTATTCGCTTTAGGTGCTTTCCAGGATCCTGTCTTTCCCCTTAACTCTCACTCGTCCTCCCTCAAACACACGCTCACTTGTGCGCGCCTCCGTTGGGTAGCCAGGGTCTCGGGAGCGCTGGGTTAGCCCCCCGGCGCTGGCCGCGCTCTTCTGCCGCACCAGTCAAGCCAAAACGCTGGCCGCGGCAGCGATGCAGATAGAACGCGCTGCCTGCTCCCCACCTCCCCCACACCTCCCCTCCTCCAAAACGTAAGCCACGGAGGGGCGAGCGAATGAAATCAAGCAGGGAAAGAGAGGAAAGGAAAGAGAATGAGACGAGAGCTAGATTTGCTCTGTTGTGACAATGTTGGGGAGTCTGCGTTAATCTTTTTTCCCCCCACCCATGTCTTTTTTTAATTTCCCCTTTATTTTAATGTGAAATAAATGTTCTAACTCCTTTGGTAACATTTTTCTCTTTCTCTTTTTTTTCCCTTCCGTTTCTCTGTCTGGTTTCACAGGAGTGGCACCTGCAAAGAAGAGCCCAAAACTGGTAAGTAGTTGTTTTAATCTTAATTTTTACATCCATCCACCTCAGTCCTCTAACCACATGTGTGCATCTTTCTGAGGGATGTTTCAATATCATCATCTCTCCCTTTCCCACCTCATCTCTAACTCCTCTCTGTGCGCTGCAACTTGTGCTCATGTTGTGGGTCGGTTTGTGGACATGGGATACTGTACTGTGCGGGGGCGGATTCCTGTAGCTTCACATCAGCCCCCCCCCCCTTCTGACGGGGGATGGGACGAGGAGCTTTGATGCACCGCGTGAGCTGGGTTGCTAACACGCTGATGATCGCATCGCACTGGGTGCTAAGTTTGCAGTGTGAGCATTGATGTATGATCACAGCTGAGAGACTGCTCCATCCTGTAATGTCTTTATTAAAAGAGAGACCCCTGTAGACTTTGCAACTGAGGACGTGTTTGCCAATATTGTTTTGCAGGATGATTTTGACTCTCCACACAGAGATTACACTAGGAGGATATGCAGTGGTGCTTTTGAAATGATGGTGCTGTAGTATTAGCGTTGGGTAGTTAATGGTATTCTCATAGCTGTGCATAAGTGGTACAGTTCAAGCGTCACTCATGATGCGCACAGCATGGGTAAGCCCCCCCACTGTGTAGGCACCAGTAAAGGTGCAGGATATTTTACAGTTTTATAGAGAAGCGATGTTAAACATAAGGCGAGGGGGGCAGAAATGGCCTAGTAAAGACTCCAATCTAATCTGGCTTTGGAAAATGTGAATGAAACTTTTAACTGTATTTTCATAAGTTTTACAGCTTAAAGACGTTCACCATTGCCATTCTCACTACACCAAAGCAGTTACTTAAGACATAAACTGTTAAATATTAGTAAAAAAAAAAAAAGAGGAGCTTTTCTATCTACTACTAATTTTTCTTTTTTAAATATTTATCTATAACCAACTTTTAAAAAAATCTATGAATAACCAAAACTTTGTTTTATAAATACAGGACAGTCTGGGCAGTGAGCTACCAGAATGTTTTCAGTAATTTTACTTGGTGGCACTATTCAAAGGACCCTGTAGACTGTGTCTAACAGACCATGTATTTGCCAATTTTGTTTTGCAGGATGATTCTGAGGTGGAATCTTCATACACAGATAACAGTAGGAGGGTATGTGATATTGTTTAGTTGGTGGGAAGGTTTCTAGAAATGAGGTGTTATGATATTATTGGTGTTGGTTTGATAATCCTTAGCTGATAAAAGAGATGGTGGATAAGCTGCCGGTGATAATTATAGCATTACATAATGTTTAACATTAACATTGTGTTTAGGCGTATGAGGCTATTTATGTGTGACAAATCAAATCATGACTCTTATGTCACTACATAATGCAGTGCATAAAGACATGAGTCTGCAGGTGACAGAGCAGTACAGAGCTAAACTTTAAAATTCCTTTTGGGTGCCGTACCTTCAGGCTAGATGAGATGGGAACCATCCATCGTTTTATCAGCGTACAGTTCAAAAGTCTTTATTTCAGGTATTACCAGAAAGACCCTGTAGACAGTGTCTAACAAAACGTGTTTGCCGATTTCATTTTGCAGGATGATTTTGAGCTGGATCCTCCATACGGAGTTAACACTAGGAGGGTATGTGATGTTTTTTTTTTAAGATGGGGAGAAGGTTTGACTGAGCTAAACTGGTAAAACTTAAAATTCCTTTTGGGTGCTGTACCTTCGGGCTAAATAAGAGAGAAACCATCCATCTTGTTATCAGCACACATTTCAAAAGCTTGCAATCATGATGGAGTGCATTAGTGCAGGAGTAATCCCCACGTCTTTCAAAGCACCAGTAATGCTGAAGAACAAAAACATATTTCAGAGCAACACATGACACAATCTTGATGATGCCTTTTTTTTTTTTAAGAAAGCCCTTGCTTATTTCAGCAAAATAATGCACGGCATTCCTCACATATTACATGAGCAGGACTCTCTTTTTAAAGAGTTCAGGTGCTGACCTGACCTGTTGTGGGAAAGAGTCTGTAAACTGAGCATGTTGTTTTGTTTTTTTTTGTTTTGTTTTGTTTTTTTGGGGGGGGGGGGTGTTTTGCAGGATGATTTTGAGCTGGATTAGCCTTACAGAAAATACACTAGTAGAGTATGTGATCATGTTTAGAACGGCTTTAGGCTGTGGTGGGTTTATGATGGTTCTGGTGTCCTCAGCAAAAAGTAAAGGTTATGGATAAAGTGCCAGTAGTGCTGGTGTTATTGCATAATGCATTTCAGCTCTACGAGGCTGCTTAGGTGTGACGCAACAAGCTTTGGACCTTCTGAATGCTGGGTCCTTCTTGCTGAATATGAAATGAACCATTGATCTCATTATCAGTGCGCTGTTGAAAAGCCAGCACTCATGATGGTGCTATTACATACAGTATGGTTGATCCACACATCTGTGAGAGCAGCTCCAATGATACACTATATATGCAAGTTTTGGAGCAACCATCCCGATCATGACTTTTAAAGAAAGCCTCTTGTTATTAAAGCAAGTTGATCGCACGCTACACTCTGTAAATGTTACATAACCATGACTCTGTCATCAGAGACCAGGCGCAAAACTGACCCTTTTTATAACTTTCATTTGAGGTTTTATTAGAAGGACCCTGCAGAGTAATGTGTGTTTGCCAATTTTGCTTCACAGGATGAATTTGAGCCAGATCCTCGATATAGAGAGATTATTAGGAGGGTATGTGATGCTGTTTACATGACGTGAAGATTTTAACGATTAAGCTCCCAATGATAAATGTGTTAATGCATAATGTTTTTACTGTATTTACTCTTTGGTTGTGTGATGATGTTGGCAGCTTAGCATGACACAGCTAATCTTTGAATTTTGGGGAGATATTGCATCCTTCAGGCTCAATAACAGAGAGGAACATTTATCTCACTACAAGCACATAATTTAACAGTCAGTGTTCATGATTGTATTGTACACAAAAATGATGATTTTTTTTTTTTTTTGTGTGTGAAGCAACCAATGCCAAACCCAGATAATGTGCTTTAAAAGACAGCCTTGCTTATTTCAGCAAGTTATTGCCAAATCACATTCTGCATGTATTTTGGAGCTTTTTTGTATTCATGTGTTTAAAAAATTGTTTTCCAGGATAATTTTGCAATGGCTCCTCCAAACAGAGATTATAGAAGAAGGGTACGTGATGCCATTTAAAGTTTTTGAGAGTGAGGTGTAATCATACTGGTGCTGGGCAGATGATAGAGATGGTATTCTTATAATGTTAATACAAAGTGATCATATTTTAATGCATTCAGGCTTAAATTGTCTCACACAGAACGATATTATGTGTGACTCAACAAACTACTTATGACTGTTAATGCTGTGCTACATAAATGTACATATTACATGAGCATGGAGCCATAGCATGGAGCTCGGGTGCTACACTGGCCTTGTTGCAGTTTAGAAGTGTCATTCAGGCATTATTAGATTGGACATGTTTGCCAATTTCTTTTGCAGGATGATTTTGAGGTGGCATCTTCATACGCAGATAGCACTAGGAGGGTATGTGTTATTGTTTAGATGGGGTGACGGTTTTAGGAATGAGCCGTCATTGGTGGTGGTTCTATAATTCTTAGCTCATAAGAGAGGTGATGGATAAGGTGCCTGGGAGAGCAGTGTAAATGCTGCATGATGTAATGCCTTTATTAATAGAGGGATTGTGCAGACTGTATGTAACTGAAAATGTGTTTGCCAATATTGTTTTGCAGGATGATTTTGAGCCGGGTCCTCGATACAAAGATAACACTCGGAGGGTATGTGATATTATTCAGAGGTGGTGGAAGTATTATGAATGACAATGGCTATGGTGTTCTTATAACGGATGAAAGCAATGAATAAGCTGTCAGTGATAATCATGTTCATACTGGTTTTACTAACTGTCTGGTTGTCAGAAAAGTAAATATGACTGTTAATTCTGTAGTACACAAAGGCAGTTAACCAAAGTCAAGCTGGCTGTTAGCTTAGTAGGACAATGGTAAACTTTGAAGTTCTGCTTAACCCAATGTTTTTCACGGTTAATTAAGAGAGGAACTATCAATCTCATTAAAAACAAATCGTTTTAAAAAGCTGTTTCTGTGACAGCATTGGATTACAATATAATATCTATAGGTTTTAGAGCAATCCACATAATTCCTTTTAAAGGAGGGACGTGCTTATTTCACCAAGACGATGCCAAACCACATTCTGCACATTCTTATTTTTCAGGATAATTTTGCGATGGCTCCTCCATACAGAGATAACAGAATAAGGGTACGTGATGTCATTTAGATAAATTGAAACTTTTCGGGAATGACCTTGTGTGCGTAGATGGTACGGTGTGGTCTTCTTATAAAGATAATAGAGGGGATGGGCATGGTGCCAAAGATCATGGGTTTAATGCATGAGGTTTCAATAGAATATTTTAATGCAAGATGCTGTTTATGTGAGGCCCTGCATTCTAGTTATTGCTGTTAATTTAGTAGTACATAAGGACAGTGAACCCAATTTAGGCCTGCTGCTCATTTTTCAGAACAGCACTAAGACTCCCTTTGGGTGCTGTACCTTCAGGCTAAATGAAACGGAAACCTTCCATCTTGTGATCGGCATACAGTTCAAGTTATCATTCATGATGGTATTGCACTGTATAAGTGTATATCTGTGACGGCCCCACCAATGCTGAACAACATATCTAGGTTTTAGAGGAACATATCCCACCATCATGATTATGCCCATTAAATGCTAAACCAAATTCTGCACATATTACAAGATCAAGAGGCCTTAAATAAAGAGTCCAGGAGCTAAACTTTGCCTGCTTAAACTTTGTCTGACAGAACATGGCTGCCAATTTGTTTTTGCGGGATGGTTTTGATGTGGATTCTTCTCACAGATAATATTCAAGGCGGGTTCAAGAAAGTCTTAAATTATTTCAGCAAGACAATGCTGAAATAACAAAGGACACAAGCATGACTCTATATCAAAAATGCCAAGTGCTAAACTGGGCTGGTTTTAGTACAGATCTTTCTTTCTGATATTGTTAGAAGGACCCTGTAGACTGTGTCTAACAGACCATGTCTTTGCCAATTTTTGTTTTGCAGAATGATTTCGATGTGGAATCTTCATACACAGATAACAGTAGGAGGGTATGTGATATTCTTCAGATGGGGTGAAGGTTTTAGCAATGAGTTATTGTGATATTGATGGTGGTTTCATAATCCTGAGCTGACAAAAGACACAATGAAAAAGGTGCCAATGATCATTTTAGCATTACATAATGTTTGATCTCCTAGGACCCGGTGTCCACATATGTGGACATCACATTTTGGGATGTCTAGACCAAAATACTTAATTTTTCTCTACAAGGACCTGATATGCACTTACGAGGACATTATACTGCCACTGTTCTATTGAAATTTAAAACCAATGTCCTCATATGTGGATCTCATTTTTCTCAAAAAGAAAAATTAGGTTAAAAAAAATCTGGTAATTCTTTGTTTTTACATTCATCAGGTCCCAATAAACCCAAATAGCAAAGAAAACATTTAAATGCATGTCATGAAAGACTTCGGGTCTTAGGAGGTTAACATTGCGTTTAGTGTATGAGGCTATTTATGTGTCACACCTCAAAGAAATTATGACTCCTTGCGTTACAGTGCATAAAGACAGTGAACATGAGTCATTCCTGCTGGTGACAGAGTTAAACTTTAACATTCCTGTTGGAGGCCGATACCATCATGTTAAAAAGGAAGGAGCCATTTAGAGCTCAAATGCTAGCTTCTCAGGTGTGGCAATGCATGCCATCATTGAGATGATGCTTTTTAATGGAAGACCTTGCTTATTTTAGCAAGATGTTAGCAAACTACAATCTGCCTATGTTACACAATCATGAATACATTGCAAAAAGTCTAGTTGCTAAACTAAAATAGAACCCTCCTCTTGATAATATAAAAGGGTCCTATAGTCTAAACATGTGTTTGCTAATTTTGCTTCGCAGGATGATTTTGAGCCGGATCCTCGATATAGAGAGAACATTAGGAGGGTATGTGATGCTGTTTACATAACGTGAAGATTTTAGGACTAAGCTGCCAATGATAAATGTGTTAATGCATAATGTTCTTGCTTTATTTACTGTTTGCTTGTGTGATGTTGTCTGTGTGCGACACAAAAGCTAAATTGCTGTTAATTCTGTAGTCCATAAAGACAATAAAACATAGTCAGGCCTGATGCCAGCTTAGCATGACACAGCTAATCTTTGAATTTTGGGGAGATATTGCATCCTTCAGGCTCAATAACAGAGAGGAACAAATGCCAAACCCAGATAATGTGCTTTAAAAGACAGCCTTGCTTATTTCAGCAAGTTATTGCCAAACCACATTCTGCATGTATTTCAGGAGCTTTTTTTGTATTAAGTTTTATATTATTATTATTTTCCAGGATAATTTTGCAATGGCTCCTCCAAACAGAGATTATAGAAGAAGGGTACGTGATGCCATTTAAAGTTTTTGAGAGTGAGGTGTAATCATACTGGTGCTGGGCAGATGATAGAGATGGTATTCTTATAATGTTAATACAAAGTGATCATATTTTAATGCATTCAGGCTTAAATTGTCTCACACAGAACGATATTATGTGTGACTCAACAAACTACTTATGACTGTTAATGCTGTGCTACATAAATGTACATATTACATGAGCATGGAGCCATAGCATGGAGCTCGGGTGCTACACTGGCCTTGTTGCAGTTTAGAAGTGTCATTCAGGCATTATTAGATTGGACATGTTTGCCAATTTCTTTTGCAGGATGATTTTGAGGTGGCATCTTCATACGCAGATAGCACTAGGAGGGTATGTGTTATTGTTTAGATGGGGTGACGGTTTTAGGAATGAGCCGTCATTGGTGGTGGTTCTATAATTCTTAGCTCATAAGAGAGGTGATGGATAAGGTGCCTGGGAGAGCAGTGTAAATGCTGCATGATGTAATGCCTTTATTAATAGAGGGATTGTGCAGACTGTATGTAACTGAAAATGTGTTTGCCAATATTGTTTTGCAGGATGATTTTGAGCCGGGTCCTCGATATAGAGAGAACATTAGGAGGGTATGTGATGCTGTTTACATGACGTGAAGATTTTAACGATTAAGCTCCCAATGATAAATGTGTTAATGCATAATGTTTTACTGTATTTACTCTTTGGTTGTGTGATGATGTTGGCAGCTTAGCATGACACAGCTAATCTTTTAATTTTGGGGAGATATTGCATCCTTCAGGCTCAATAACAGAGAGGAACATTTATCTCACTACAAGCACATAATTTAACAGTCAGTGTTCATGATTGTATTGTACACATTAATGCATTTTTTTTTGTTTTTTTTGTTTTTTTTGGAAGCAACCAATGCTACTACCCAGATAGCTTATTTCAGCAAGTTATTGCCAAACCACATCCTGTATGTATTTCAGGAGCTTCTTTTGTATTCATTTGTATTCATTTAAAAAATATATATTTTTCAGGATAATTTTGCGATGGCTCCTCCATACAGAGATAACAGAATAAGGGTACGTGATGTCATTTAGATACATTGAAACTTTTCGCGAATAACCTTGTGTGCGTAGATGGTGCTTATAAAAACAATAGAGGGAATGGGCATGGTGCCAAAGATCATGGGTTTAATGCATGAAGTTTCAATAGAATATTTTAATGCAAGATGTTATTTATGTGAGGCCCTGCAATATAGTTATTGCTCTTAATTTAGTAGTACATATGGACCGATATAGTGTATATCTGTGACAGCACCATTAATACTGAATGACATATGTAGATTTTAGCATCCCACCTTACATAATATTTAGCATAATCTTTAGCATAATGTTTAACATTGCGTTTGATGATGCCCTTCAAATGCTAAACCAAATTCTGCACATATTACAAGATCAAGAGGCTTCAATAAAGAGTCAAGGAGCTAAACTTTGTTTTGTTTTGCAGGATGATTTTGATGCGGAATCTTCATACACAGATAACAGTAGGAGGGTATGTGATATTGTTCAAATGGGGTGAAGGCTTTAGAAATAAGTCGTGATATTGGTGTTGGTTTGATAATCATAGGCTGATAAATGACACAAAGAAAAAGGTGCCAATGATCATTTTAGCATTACATAATGTTTAACATTGCATTTAGTGTATGAGGCTAAAATGCTCGAAGTTTAGAACTTTGATTATTAAAGCACTTTGTAGACTCAATCTGTGATTGCCAATTTTGTTTTGCAGGATGATTTTGAGATGGATCCTCGGTACAGAGCTTATGGAAGGAGGGTATGTGATCTTTGTTTAGAGAAGGTGAAGGTTTTGGGAATGACCGGTTTGGATAACGGTGATGGGTTGATAACAGTAATTGAATTCTTACAGCAGATAATAGAGCTGATGAACAACTTCCCACTGATAAATGTGAAAAATCATAATGTTTTTAACATGTTTGGATATCTGAGGCTGATTGGGTGCTGCAGAAAAACTATTTGTGCCATAGCAGGACAGAGCTAAAATGTTCAATTTGTTTTAGATGCCTTGTCCTTAAGGCTTAATAAGATAGGGACCATCATTCAAGTTATAAGTGTGCTGTTTTAAAAGCCAGAATTTGCCCTTATATTGGTGTAGAGTATAATATAAACAGACTGTCGACCAAAAATGCTGCTTTTCATCTGATGCCTTGTTGAGACAATGCCTAAACCACTTTCTGCACATATTTCAGGAGCTTTTTGCAATTTTCATTTTTTTTATCATTATTTTTTTTTTCCAGGATGATTTTGCGATGGCTCCTCCATACAACGATTACTCTAGAAGGGTATGTGATATAATTTAGATACAGTACAGAATTTTGGTGGGAGATTGATGTCATGTATGGTGGTGCTAGTTAGGTAATGGTGATGGTGTTCTTGAAAGCGTAACAGAGGTGATGGAAAAGTTGCCAGTGCTAAAACATCAAGTCACTATTAGCTGTGTCTGAGTGAAGGTACAGTAATAGTATAGAATAGTTTTGCAGGATGATTTTCCACTGGCTTCCACTTATAGAGACCACCCTATCTGATTTCAGTTAGCTAGGGAAGAAAATTGTTGGGATGTGTGATGATATTAATGCTGGGTATATGATTATGATGGGATTTCTATAGCAGATAATCGAGGTGATGGGTATGCTTTTTAAATGCATGTTATGTTAAGAAGTTGTATGTGTGCTAAACCAGTGATGCGTCACGTTAAGCAGGACTGAGCTGAGTCTTAGGAAGCAGTGAGGATTTGCTTTCATTGCCCCACCTACCAATGCCTCTCGCGTCCCATCTTCTGTCTCTTTAATAAGTTATTGGAGCAGCACAAACCCATGTATTAAACTACTCGCAGGCCACCGAGGAACAACGCAATGACTGCAGAAGGTCAAAATCTAATAGATTCATCAAGTATAGGAGATTTGTTTTCATTTAAGAGGGGGATCGGATTTGGACTTTCTGTGCATCAAACAACACGAAAAAAATACAGATTGGTTGGCCTGGGGTTTTTTTTTTTTTCTTTTGAGAATCAGTCCTCAGGTCTGACTTTAGCATCAACACGACCTGCATTTCTGATTAAGTATATGACTCTATTGATTTTTTTTATTTTATTTTTTTAAGTACACCACAAACCCTAGTGAGGTTATTTGCAGCACCAGCAGAGTAAGCATTCCAGCTGGAGCCACAGCCCCGACTTAATATTTCCTAAAGCATCAAGCTTATTTTATGTCTAACAAGGATGATGAATATAAACATGAATTGCAGAGGTGTAGGAGAGTGATTCAGCGAGTAATGAGTGTGAAGACATGACTGCACTTTGAAGGCCAAACACTTTGATATTTGAGAACAGACGAGCCACTTGCCTCCACCCTTTCCTGGTATATTTTTGTCCTCGGCGTCCAAAGTAATGTGCAGTCACGTGACGTGAAGAGACTGAACTGCTGTCATTTTCGCTTACCGTCTTAAAATATCGGCCTTTCTTTCCCGAGCTCTGCCCCGTAACCCTTTCACGTCGCTGGCTTCTTCGCAGCATTGGAGAATTTGCAGACCAATGGTGACGATGTGATGCTTGCAAAGGAGAGATGCTGTGACAAGGATGACAAACAGGATCTTTACCGATACTCGCAGCGTACCTGTGCCTGAGCTCGGGATTGTGAGGTTTACTCAGCTCGAATCCTCGAACAGATGCTTAAGTGCGCATGTTATTGAGGGGCGAGTCGCAATTTATAAGCAGTTTTACATTTCTACCTTCACCAGTAAAGTCCTCTCTTCTTTTTAAAACCCTGGAGTGCTTTATTCATTGTGACTATCCCTCCATATACAGCAGGGAATGCAGCTCCTTCTTAATACATTCCACTCTGTTAAACAAAAGGAATAGGCAATGTACTCTTGTAAGTTCCACAGTTTTCTCCCATAGCTGAATGACTTAATCATGAGAAACCATTGAGGTCCTCTTTTTTTTTTTTTCTCCTTCTTTGTTAGCTTTAAAAGAATTCTCTGCATAAAACAGCTTGATTATTCTTTGTGTTAAATAAGGGAGCAATACGACAATGGTTGACATTACACTCTTAGAATGTGCTTCCTTTCACCCCAAGGAAAAGCCATGTTTAATCTTTTTGAACTCTAATTCAGAATTGCTCTGTATTCACATCTCCGCTGTCCCTGTTCCTCCTCTCACAAACCACAACCCAGATTCATATTTTCTATTCCGCTGTTGACGATGCAATAACCTTCTTTTTTTGAATGTTTTTGTCTCCTCCTGTCAGTCATTTTTGAGTTCAGCTTCCATGCTCCTGTGCAGAAGATTTGAAACAGTCAAATGATATTGATCTGCTTCTCCAACAGCAGTTGTCAAGAAAGGACAGCCAGAACAGCTCCCAGCATAGTGTTTCCAGCCACCGGAGCGCGCACGCAGACTCGCCTGTGCACTCTTCCCTGGCACCCGCTCTCAGTGAGAGCAACGCGCCCCCACCTCCCTCGCAGCCTTTGCCGGGACTCCCAATCCAGGACTCCCCAGGAGACGGGACCATCCAGAGAAAACCGGACCCCTTTAAGATTTGGGCCCAGTCCAGGAGCATGTATGAAAGTAGGCGTAAGTATATTCATTTCTGGTGGCGGTTGGATGAGGGCAGCATGGGGTATTGGCTCGGTGCAGACCCTTGGTGTCTTGGTGGTACTGCTCATTTTGGGGAACGTTTTGTGCTTGTAAGTAAGCTGGGTCAGATATTTATATTTATTTATTGATCTATGTTTTACTAAAGACTGGCTTGCGCTCAAATGCTCCACTGCACATAGTGATTAACAAATATATTATACCGCCTGTGATAAAACAATAAAACATAAATATTGTAGGAGTCTGTCAAAGAAATTTGTTTGTTGTTATTATTTATTAGGCAAATGACAAATTGAATTAATATTTTTATACCCAAATTTGAGCTGGCACACTGGACTTCACAGAGAAGTCAGAAATTATATATACATTTTTTTTTAAAGTCTGATGTTCTGTTCAACCAGTAAAACTTTTCTGTTCAGGGGTGCAAATTAATGAGCATAATTGAGCTTTGCTATTTTTTCAGCTTTCTTTAATGTAAAATATTGAATTTAAAGCATTTGGCATTAACCTCCTAAGACCTGAACTCTTCCACAGCATGCATTTTTAACTTCTCTTTGATATTTGGGCTGATTGGGACCTGATGAATGTAAAAACAAAGAATTACCAGATTAATTTTTTTACCTAATTTTTGTTTCTAAGAAAAATGAGATCCACATATGAGGATATTCATTTAAAATTTCGATAGAACAGTAGCAGTATAATGTCCTCGTACGTGGATATCAGGCCCTTGTAGAGCAAAATTGAGTATTTTGGTCTAAATAACCCAAAATGCGATGTCCACATATGTGGACGCCAGGTCCCAGGAGGTTAAATATATGGTTTAGAATCAGGGGTGTCAAACTCCAGGCCTCGAGGGCCGGTGTCTTGCAGGTTTTAGACCTGTCCTTGATCCAACGCAGCTGATTTAAATGGCTAAATTACCTCCTCAACATGTCCTGAAGTTCTCCAGAGGCTGGTAATGAACTAATCATTTGATTCAGGTGTGCTGACCCAGGGTGAGATCTAAAACCTGCAGGACACCGGTCCTTGAGGCCTGGAGTTCCCCACTGCTGGTTTAGATAAAAGAGCTTGTGGATGCTGGTGGATTTACCATTACAGAAAAATAAATAAATATAAATAAAGATTTTGGAAGTTATCAGTACTGTTAATTTAGGGCATAAACCTTACATTGGGAGGACATTGTAGAATGTAAAATCAATTCACCTACATATTTTCATATGTACTCCGTCACTGCCTTGAAGGAAAACTGCTGATAGATGTCAGTGATGGTAGATGAGGAGCTTAGCTAATAAAGAAAGCCGTTTACATTTGTTTGTATATAGGCTGTCTTGTAAAATTACTAGAATCTAGCTTTATGTCTACAGGTACATGTATTTTTTTCTGGCATAGCCATGGCAAGCATCTCCTTGGTTTTTTTTCCCCCAAGCTAAGCTAATTGGCTTTTCTTTCACATTTAGCATTCAGCTATCAAAGTGGTGTCAATCTTTGAAACTGAGACTCCACAAGAAACTGAATAGTAATAGTATTTTCCAAAAGAGCTAGCATGCTACTTTGTTACTTTGTTACTAGCTGTAGACATGTAGGCCTCCAGTGTGTTGTTGATTGTGTCCTCTTAAAATTACTAGTTGCCGCTTTCACCCAGTGCCAGACAACAGCACCACTGACACACTTTTATTTTAGACTTCCCTTAAGAGGCACATGGTGTATAATTAGTACAAGAGTGGAGTAGATGTTGGCGGATTGTAAACCTCCCCACCCCCCCGCCTTGGCAAAGCAAGGGGATTGCTCTAATTAAAAAGAATAACCATCATATTCATTGTCAAGTAAAAAAAAAGAGACATCTGCAAAGGGTTTTTATTCTTTCATTTATTTATTTTTTAAAGATCTAATCAGTTTTCCAGGCGCACTTGTTGAGGATTTTCATTATTTAGATGAAGAAGAATGAAAAATGAAGAGCTGAGCGTAGGCAGTGGTTCAGACACCTGTTGGAAAGCTGCCATGATTAGTTGAGTCAATAGTATTTGATTTTGTAATAAATAAATGAATAACAATAATAGAAATGGAGTGAAAGAATCCACAACCAAGGGCGGGAGGGATGTTGTCTACATACCCGCCCTCATATGATGACATCCCAATAGGGAATTTCTAAATTGCCCAGCCAGTTTGATCTGGTAAAATGTTAGAAAAGTAAAAACAAAGAATAATAATAGGAGAGTTGATCAAAACATTTGAAGGGGATGTAAAGAGAAATATAAGAGAAAGCTGAGCACTCTGAGGTATAGAGTCACAAGGAGAAATACCTTGAACAGCACGGGATGAACAGCAGGTGTAAAACCTCCACTTCCTCACGCTTCATTGAGCTCTCTCCATAAAACTCACTCCATAGTTCTCAGGCCTTGGATAGGGCAGAGACATTTTTCCATGCAGCTTTCACTATAATGAAAAACTCTGCTGAGATCAAGGTCTTTAAACTTACCGTGCAGGGAGTGATTTCCATTTGCAGGAAGAAAACGTCCCAAAATCTCGCACAGCATTAGCCTGCTGTAAAAGCGGAGGAAGCTTGCTCGTGCTTTTGTTGGGCTTCATTATGATTATTTTGGGTTTTTAAAAAAAAAAAAATAATAATAATCTCCTTTTTTGTAGCATCATCACTCACAGCTTTGAATAGGGCCGTCTATCTTGGGAAAATATTGATCCGTTCATGCCCAGTTGCCTCACTGTGGGGATCACTTATGGGTCTATTAATGGGCAGGAGCAGCGTGTGCAGTTGACCTTCCTGAGTGCGGGTGCAGATTGCGACAGTTAGCCTTTGACTCTTTCCTCCTCTGGTTCCTCCACAGTAACCCTGTGATAGATTGGAAGAGATAGCTGCGCTCCGTGGGGATTTTAAGTGTTGACTGAAGGAGCAGATTGGAAGCAGACTGCTTATGCTTTCTGCCATCCCACCCTCTCTTAGTGGTTTTAGCGGCCTTGGCAGCAGCAGCTTCAGCTGGAGCAAAAAAGGAAATCTCCCTGAGAGATGTTTGTCTGCACACATAACACATCTGCGCCCATGGAAATGCATGCACACGTACTCATATGGGGATTCAAAGCCGCGTATTTAAAGCAAAGAAGCTCCTATGTACAATGGGATAAGGCCACACGCATGCAAATCATCTCCTCCTGTCCTCTGGGCTCTGAGCTCGCTTCAGTCTCCCCTGCTACATTAACCATGAGCTGTCACTCGCTGCGGTGCGATGCCTCTTTTATATCGCGACACCTTTCGAGTTACTAGCGTACGCACACGGTTGCCTCGTGGCTACGAGTGTGCTGTGACTAGCCATACTCAGGATGGGGGGTCAGGTGGAAGGTGCACTCCAGCATAGCCAAATGATGCATCGCGTGTCACACATCACCTCACAAGACAAACTCTGTAGCCCATTTGAACATCTCTAAGGTTGTCTCAAAAAGCTGCAAGAAAGTGAAACTATACTCGGAAACGATCAGAAGGGAATTATAATCTGATCGTTTCTAATTATGGGAACGATGGACACCGATATCTTTTTTCTCAGCCAGTTTGTTTTAGCTCTAAAATTATACTCTTGGCCCAAAATAGATCCTTTTTATCTTTTGATGGCTCGTTTTTTTTGTTTGTTTTGTTTTTTACTGTCTTTGTGCAGTGTGCTACCACAGTGACAAAGCTTTGAACACAAATGATGACAGTATTTACATGCTGACATAAACAAACATATCTGATTGTTTCAGAAGAGCAGGTGTATTCATTATGCTCACACTGTGGTTGGCTTATTGTGTACCTGAGGGTATTAAATGAAATGTCTGAAGGCATCACGGTGCAGGAATAGAGTTCCCACAAGGCCAACTGTGCTTGTGCATAAGTGTTTATGGCAGCTTGTTGATTTCACAGTTCCAGACTTCCAGGAGCAGGACATTTTCCTGTGGAGAAAGGACACGGGGTTCGGCTTCAGGATCCTCGGAGGCAACGAGCCAGGAGAGCCTGTGAGTCTCTCTCCCTCAATCTTTTTCAATCTCACGGCTGAAATCTCTCCAGTTTGCGTTTCAATTTCCTCACTTTTCACCGTACATCTCCAAAGAAATGGATAAACTGACAAGATTGTGTAGCTTGAATGATGAAAAGGATGCTATATTCCCAGCACTAGTGGGAGCAGCAGCTATAGGATTTTCTTTCAACAGTCTCAACACAACAGTTCTTATCTTCCCCTTGTGTGCGTGTCCATGCTTGTGTATTGGAATTCAGCAATTTCATATCTGTGATTGCTTCTCTCTGATCTGACCAATGTAGCCTTAACCAGTCAGGGAAGAAAAAAAAACCCTGCACACACACCATTTCTTTTTTTCTTTTCCTTTAAAGAGTCAAAGTTGTTTGTTCTTGTTTACACTAGCCTGCACTGCGTCCCCCCCCCTGCTTTTCTTGAAGGGGGAAAAAAATAATGATTTACTTTAGAGCTTTGCTTGGGTTACTGCTGTTACAGGCTTGAGAGAATAGTAAAGATTTAATGCTGAAGTTTAAATTGTAGCTGTGCAGCATGCCAAGTTTATGGCCGCTGAGAAAATCGACACATTTTTATATGTCATGCACTTTAATGTCGTACTTTTTCTTTTTAGAATACCGCTTGATCGCTTTCCATGCATTTATTTTGCAAAGGTGCGGCGTAACGTATAGCTGCGCAGTCTTTGTCGACGCGTGGTTTCGAATGCACGGCAACCTCATTCGTCTGCTGCGTTTCAGATCTACATTGGCCACATAGTCAAGTACGGGGCTGCAGATGAAGATGGACGCCTGCGATCTGGTGATGAGCTGATATGCGTGGATGGAACTGCGGTGGTGGGAAAGTCGCACCAACTGGTGGTCCAGCTGATGCAGCAGGCTGCCAAGCAGGGCCATGTCAACCTCACAGTGCGGCGCAAAAGCACTTACGCTGGTGAGAAGCAAGCAGCTCGAGATGGAGGAGTAGTTTAAGCTTTTTAAAGACCTCCTAAGAGGTCCAAGAGAGGGTTTTTACTGAAGTCCAAGAATACACTCAGGTTGTTGTGGCTCAGGACGTAGAGTAGGTCATTTACTCCAGTCCACATAGCAAAGTGTGTAAGATACTGAAGGGAAAACTGATTCTGATACATCATCCACCAATATGTGGTTCTGTGAAAATACACAGATGGATAGAAAATAGTACCGTAAGAATGTGGCAGTCCATTTATTATTGAATTCTACTGATTTTACTTCAAATAACAGTGACAAATAATACTGCAGCACTTTTAAAGTGTACTGCAAAAGACAAACGGGTATATCCGTCCACAGTGCAACCAATCAGAACATGTTTTATTAAGTCAGTTAATTTCATCCTATTATAAACAGTCAGGATCCAATTTCAAGTAGTTTCAAGTTAAGCTAGTAGCTTTGTTGACCAATAGTCCAAAAATGACCATCATTTGTTTCTCTATTTAGATTCCTTTATGCAGGATTCAGAATTAGCAGAACTGTAATCTTTTGTTTTGTTTTATAAATTGCAAAAAGTATAAATATCTCTAACTGATCAATTTGTTTACATATAGTGTATTCACTGATAACATGTCATTGAATTTTAATGTGTATTGAATCAGTTTTGAGAGCAGTCTGAGATGGCTTCATTTATATTCGGTTTTTGCAGCTTTGCTTACAGTAAAACATTGTTCAGTTTTAGAAATGCACTCCCTGCTTTACCAACAGCCACATTTATGTCAGTCATACTTCCATCAGGAGCTCAGAGGCCTTCTTAATATATATCTAAGGTCAACCTTTCACCTTTTTAGAATTTAGTGTGGGTGTGGAAGTGGTCAGCCGCTACCACGAGCCAACACCCACGCCCCACCGCTGACTTCACTCCGGTCAACACAGCTCTGCTCCTTTAAAAAAAAAAAAAAGGCCCATAAATATGATGGAGAGGGTGGCCAACCTTCGGCCCAATGACAGCAGCCAGACATTAGTGCATTGCTGCTCCCTGTCTGCCTCGGAGCGTCGAGAATATGAGGCGCCTTCCTTGAGCAGCTGTACAGGAAATGAAATGTGGAATGAAATGTCCAGATAGAGCAGGCAGACCACGTCCTCGGTTCATCTTTTGTTGGAAACAGATGAGAGGAGAGATTGTTGAAGAGGCCTTCTTCCAAAGCTGTCCTTTTTTTTTAATCATAAGATAAACTAGGTGTGCTAGAGGAGCTAAATATCTGTTATTTGCCTCCTTTAATATTGTACTGCTCACGTAACGTTTAGGGATGTTGTCATATGTTTTTGCACAGCTTTTCTTTCATTACATTAGGTTCTCACTCTGTTTTGTACATGATTGTCTCCTGAATGTCTCACCTTTGGTTTCACCTCCCTTGTGATCTTTTACTGTTAATCTTCTATATCTGTGTTTTTCTTACCCTCCTGTTTGCACTTTGCACCTCATCTATGTATCTTTCTCACCATATCCTCCTCCTCCTGCCATTTTTAGTTAAAGCAGAGGGAGACATGCCTCCATCGCCGGCGTCTTCGCACCACAGCAGCACCCAGGCGCCCAGTCTCACAGAAGATATTGGGAAGCGCACCCCACAGGGCAGCCAGAACTCCCTCAACACAGTGAGCTCCGGCAGCGGCTCCACCTCTGGCATCGGCAGCGGTGGAGGAGGCGGAGTGGGTGGCGGGGGCGGCGGCAGCGCCGTGGTCGCCGCTGCGGCCGCCACCACCTCCTCTCAGCCGCCCATCGCCACCCCCGCTGTCGTCTCATCCGGTTTGCAGCCCTACGACGTAGAGATCCGCCGCGGCGAGAACGAAGGATTCGGTTTCGTCATCGTCTCGTCGGTGTCGAGGCCCGAAGCTGGCACCACCTTCGGTAAGCACGAGCACCCGCAAACACCACCACCAGCGCACCGTTGATGGCGGCTCATGCTGTTATTTCAAAAATCACTTCTACTCAGCAAAAACCCGAATCACACTTTGGCTTTTGCCTCATCACCGGGGCCTTTTATCTTCTCGTCTGCCCTACGGGAATCCTTTGAATCCTCTATAAAAACCACTGAACGCTAAATAGCCTGACAGCCAGTGCACAGTCTGGCTATTTACAGTCCCACCAGATCAATATCAACACTCTTCAAAGAAGTGGTTCTTCTTTCTCATTTTCATCTGAGCCTGTCAAACCAAGACACTGAAACCCTTTCTTTGCCTGCAGCTGCTGCTCACACTCACATAAGGCTTTCATAATTGATCACAAGTGAAGTAGGTCTTACATAAAGCCACTTGTATTATTCAGCTGAACTTAAATGGCTTGTGCGGAGCAGGTTGGCACTAAAATCCTAATAGCAGTTTAATGAGAATGAGCACTGCAAGAAAGATAAATAGGGGAAATGATCAACGTGAATGGGTTCTATTTATTTTCCAGCATATGATTAGAGATATTCGCTTACTCAAACTTTATCTTCTTTTCTCTTCTTTTTTGTGAGGTTCTTTTTCATTGCTTAGCTGGTGAATGGTGTCGTTTTTCTCTGTTTGATATTGCACAGCAACGCAAGTAAATCAGATTCAGCGTTGCTTTTACAAACTCGTAGCACTGCATCTTTTCTACTCGTACTCCATGTACGTTTTTTGCTCGCTGCTATGGCTTCCTACCTACACTAGAAGGACATTGCACCATGCTCTTCTCTCCCTGTGTGGGTGTACAGCACTGGAAAGGTCTGTGAACGCTTAGCTTTACAGATTGGCTTTTTTTTTTTCTTCTTTTTGTAAAGTGAAGCTCCTTTTCACAGGCCAAAGCAGAAAGCATAGGCTAGTAGATGAGCTTTCATTTCAGTTAACGTATAAAAGAAGATTTATCTCTCCGCTGCTCTTGATATTTCACAGTCCTAGATGGTCAGGTTTATTCAGGGGGACAGAAACGGGTTGGGATCAGATGAGTTTGTTGTGTATTAAAAGTGTGAATGCAGCGGGAAGGATGGAAGAATAATAATGAAAAGTAAGGAGGGGAGAGGGTGGCGAGAGTAATGAGTGATTGGGGGCGTCAGTCTGTAGTGACTGATGTCGGCCTGCAGAGTGAAACAAACAGAGAGACTTCAGGGTAGCTGGTGAGATGTCAGCTCTGATGTATGTTTGCAGAGTCTAACTTTCTGCAGTTGCAGGTGTTTGGGATGTAGATGAAACAGAGCTCTAACTTAACAAGAGTTTTTTTAGATGTTGAGAATCGTTTGGAAAAACTATTTAGAGAAAATAGTAAGACAAATCCTCCTATTTCTTTGCAGTGCACATTTAAATTGACCCTTCTTTTCCAGTGCTTGCATATTATCCTCTTCTTCTTCTCAGTGACTTTTGCTTGGCTGACTGTTGGCTGCGGGTCAATTAACCTTAACCCTTCTTGGTCCTCTTCTTCTGCTCCTTCCCCACTTTTCCCTCCCGTTTTCCTCCTCTCACCAAACACAATCCCCCAACATTTACACGCGCAAACACACACTCAATCACGCATGCATTACACATCCACATCGATGCTGACCATAGCTGGAAATGCTTGTGTGGCCATGCCCCACAAAATAGGACGCATCATTGAGGGAAGCCCAGCAGACCGCTGCGGGAAGTTGAAAGTCGGCGACCGCATCCTGGCTGTGAATGGATGCTCGATCACCAACAAGTCCCACTCGGACATCGTCAACCTCATCAAGGAGGCTGGAAACACAGTTACACTACGCATCATTCCTGGAGATGGTGAGTAGAGAAAAGCGAATCCAAAACCAGGTCTGAATTTTTTCCTCATATCAGCTATTATTAGATTCCTGATTATGTTTGAGGAGACTTGTTCTCACTTTCCTGGGTTGTCGTTGTTGTTATTAAGTATTCCTTCGGCGTTATGTAAAGTGCACTTTCTTCAGTGGCTTTCAAAGTGACTATAACGCCTCCGCAGTGTTGACAGGAGTGATTCTTTGGGGATATTTGGGAGGTTGCTGGGTTTTTGTTTTTTTTTTTGTTTTTTTGGTATTTTTTAGCTTCCTGCCTTTGGCGTGCCCGCATTTTTAAAACATGCAAGAGCCGTTTAGATTTCGGTGTGTATGCGTGCGTGAGCGGAGAGAGGGCGAGCGAGACAGGCACCGAGAGATGCTGAGTTTCCTCTGTGCATGTGGGTGTGTCTCCTCTGTCAAAGTGGATTTAAGGAAAAGTTTGTGTGCATTGTATGTTGCGCTGTGCAGCTGAGAACTTTCTGTGCTTTGTGCTGACATATCACCCTGGCGTGCTTCACAAATGCTATTTAATTAAGCGTGCGTGTGTGTGTGCTCATGGAAAGGCAATACTCCCTGTCAACCTGCACACTGGTAGGAATAGGAGCTATTTGTCCGCCGCTCGTTGCTTTCCGCCTCGCTTCTTATGGATGGAGAGGGTTTTTTGTTTCTCCCTTCAGAGCAGTTGATGAGAACAGTGAGCCAAAATTGCTCTGCCAAGAAGACACAGATAGAGCAAGAGAGAAGGCGCTGGCGAGGAATAACTGGATATGCTTTATCGGAAAAGTTCTGGTTTGTGTTTATGTGCGTGTGTCAAACAACCAGACGCCGTCTGACACAGAGGCAGAAAGAGTGTCGGGCAGAGATGGTGGCTTGTGTTTCTAAACTTGTGCCTCTGAATGACTGTTCTGGCTGCCTCCGTTTACAAATGGCTGAGCATTGCCAATTTCTTTGTGGATCAGTCCAATCTTTAAGCTTTCTGATGGGAACGAGCGCCATAGCGAGAGCTTCCTCTAAAGGTGAAGTCTGATTCAGCTCAACCCCCTCACCGTGTGAGAGCACAGATGGAGTTTTGTAGTAGCTGATGCTCGGTACGCCTGCAGTGTCGAGGAAACGAGCATGGGAGTCTTCCTGCTGCTGCTCAGTAATACGTGTACAAGAAACTAATACCTTCATCAGATCTGATGTCTCTGCAGCATAAATTTGGAGCACAGACAAAGCCCTCCTCATTCTTTCCACTGTGTGAGAAAAGAGAGCTAGACATGCTGTATGTGATATGATTTTTATTGTTAGCACAAGTGTAATCTGTAGCTCTCGTATCCTTTTACCCTCTGTAGTGCTCGTTTTCTTTACCTCCCTTGAATTGATTGTACCTGCTGTCCTTCCCGGCTCACGCCATTCAGGGCTGGAGGGCAAATGCATGGTCAAAGCCACAGACGAATTACAGAACGCTTCAGTTCCTTTTCTGTGCACGTTTTATTTACTTATTTATTTAGTTAAACGAGAAAGGGGAAAGCAGGTAGTAGGTCGCACGCAGAAGAGAAGTAATATCCGGAGAGAAAGCAGTCGGAGGAGAGACGAATGAAGAGAGGCGACAAAAGAAGGAAGTGATTCATGCAAATCAGGCAGAGGGAAAGATAGTGATAGTGTTTTTACAGGAGTTAAACGTGAGACTGCAAAACTGAAAGGGTGGTCGAAGGTTTTCCTCGTGGTTCCCCTCTTTGCCGTCTCAAGTGAAGCTCACCTCACCTGCACTCCCGCTCGAGTGGTCGACACTGTAGATCTTGAGCAGCGGGCAAAGGAATGGTTGAGCCACCAGGCTCCAGTGGAGTACCGGAGGGAAAGGAGATTAATAGGTGAGAAGGGAAGTGACCATGAGAAGAATGGCGAGTAGCAGACTGGGGAAGGGGAGGTGCAGAGTTGTAATCGAATGTAGGATGCCGGTAGATGGCCAAGAAGGATGAGGTCGTTAGATAAAACAAAGCTTTCTTTATGCAGCAGGTGTCGCGTGATGACGGCCTGTCTGGTGTTTTTCACTGATAACTGAAAATGAGTGGATCAGTGCAGAGATAAAAGACAGAGTAAGCACGAGCTCTAATGCCACTGGCGTAGATGTTCCCTGCTTGACAATTCAGAGGCAGAAAGGATTAGTTTCAGTCCTAAATGTGATGTACAGCCTTTGGACGTTTACCAAATGATTGATGGCACAAACCGCAGTATTACCCAAGTGTCCGGGAACATGGCTAAGTGGTGAAAGAAGCCTGGAAACTGGTTTCGAGCCTAGTGGTGGACCCTGTAGGTCGGGTTGACACAAGGAAAACAATGAAATGTCTCCACATGTGAAATTTAATTATATCGCCCAGGCTTTCAAGGAAACTGGAGAGGCTTCTGTTAGAGTATGTCTATACAAAATGACAGCATATTCAGTTACAAGCCTTTTCCCCCCCGTCTCCTCATTGGTTGAAAAACACAATCATTCTCGTTCTTTGTTTTTGTTTTGTGTGTTATCTCATGTGACGATATACTTGCTCTTCTTCCGCCCTCCGCAGAATCATCGAACGCATCTCTGTTGACGAATGCAGAGAAGATCGCCACTATAACCACTACTCACACCGCTCAGCAACAGGCCGCACCGGAGGCCAGGTGAGGAGCACGGCAGAAAACAGACTTGCCTAATAATGAAATGTCTTTTGGAGCGACCCCTCGCTTAGGCCTCATATTTCACGCTTTTTCTGTTTCAGGACCAACACTAAACCAAAACAGGAGTCATTTGCCCCGCAAGCCGCCCCTCCCCAGCCCCCCACGCAGCAACTCCCAAGCACTCAGGTGAGGAAGAGAGGCGCCGCAGTCTTAGCAGTTACATCAGTCATGCGGACACCCATCCATTTCATGTCTCCATCAAAACACGCCGGTCCTCTACACTCCATCAACTTTTCTACCCACATCTAATCTAAATTTGTCTCTTCATACATCCATTCAGCTGTTTCGCGATATCTAAACAGTCATTCATCCCCTCCCCTGTCCCTCCATCTATCAACTAATATACCCACTTACCTTCCCAAGGACAAACCAAGTGCATTTTTATTTATTTATCTCTTTACGCCGACCTGCTGGCGTTATCTGAGTGTGCATATTAAGGAAAGCCTGTTTGCTTTCAAAGTAGCCCCTCAGTCCACTCTGTTCACCGCTGAATTAATCTGCTGGTGTGGAGATGGCTTTCACAGATAGCATTGATCCTCCAGCAGAGGAGATTAGGAGGGCGTAAAGACAGGAGCTGCTGAGGCTGTCTGCCCGTCCTTGTGTGGTTCCCAGACCTCCTCCTCTCTCTTCGTCTGCGCCCTCTCTACTTTTTCAGGCCAGGGCCCACGGCATCAATAATTCAGCGTCCTTACACCTGAGCATATGCATGTCCACACGCAATCACACACACGCACGCACACACCCGCGCACACACGAAGGGGAAAAGCGTAGCACAACTGTTAAGGTGAGACTTGCCTGAAGGTGGCAATTGTCCCTTGCCTCTGAAATAGGATCCCCCTTCAAAGGAGACACGCACACACAAGCACGCACAAACGCAGACACACGCGCACACTTGAAACCTGAATCACAAAGGTGACTTTGATGCAAACATCTCCTTTCTCCTCTCACTCTCTCTCCCTCCACACATGGCGTCTGACTCCATCAGGATTCTGAGTTCTACTCCGTGGACCTGGAGCGAGACAACAAAGGCTTCGGCTTCAGCCTGCGAGGAGGCCGCGAGTACAACATGGACCTGTACGTGCTGAGGTTAGCCGAGGACGGAGCAGCTGTTCGCAACGGAAAGATGATGGTATGGACACACAAATGGGAAACGCAGAAGCTCAGAGGTTGTTTTCTCGGGGTCTTGAAAGGGTCACGCCACCAAACACTGAAGTTTAGTTTGACCATCATAAGAACTAGTGCTGGAAAAACAGCACTTACCCAAGTAACACTGCAATCTCGTCGTCTGTGCTCATATTTAGACCATACAAATGGTCAGACAGCCTTTTTTGCAGCCACATAACATGGAGCTGTTTTACAGGAAATGTTGGACGGCCTATTGAAATGTAACCACTGCTTGTACCCCTTTAATATTATACTTAATTATGGAAAACTGTGATGTAATTTTATCAATTTAAGGTTATATGCAGCTGTGTCAACAGGGATGCCAATATTCCCTCAGTAGCTAGAATACCTCCAAATAAGTTTTATTTTTTAACAGCCTGCTTTCTTTGGAAACAGCCAACAGATTGTCTGGAAATAACGGCGGACAGTTCCCTCGGTTGTTTTAGTTAATTTTCTGTAATATAGTCGTCTTCGCATTTGTCAGCATAGTTTGAAATCATCTGAAAAAAGCGTTCTAGTGGAATAATTGTAATGTTAATGAGAAATGTTCGGACTTCATTATTTTTGGTGGAGCTGTGCGAGACATTAGCTCTGCAATTTAGCTAAGAAAAATTACGTCTCTTTCCGGTTTTTTTTCCTTAGTAATCCAGAGTGTTTTTAAAATGAATGTTTAATTTAACTATTTGTCAAATTTTCTCATTCCTTAATCCGTCAGCTTGCCTGAACGCTATAAAATTATCTTTTGTCGGGGGTGCACATAACAGCATATCTGAAAAACGACTGCTGATTGTAACCGTTGTTATAAATACCAATTATAATTTTATAAATCCTTGCCTTCAGGTGCAGCACAAGCCAGTTGACTTTATTGATTAGCTGGGGGTGGGAGGGGGGGTTGATGGCAGCCTTGTAGACCTTACAGCCATCGCAATAATATTATTTATCAGTATAATTGCTTTTGCATAATGTACCCCCAATTACTGCAAGCCATGCTTCACTGACTCGCAAACAGTCACCTCCGGGCTCGGCCATGCAGACGGTTCACTGATTGTAATATGAAGACACGCAAACAGAATATGCACATTTTAATTTATGTTTCACGACAAGCTCGTAAAGTGGCATTCATACATGCCACAAAAGCTGTGATGAAACTGCAATATTTAACCTTTCCATCTGATTAATTGTACATAAATAATAGCACTTTCCCCGGAGTGCTTGATGAAGTGTGAGGTGTTTTTATTTATTCTCTCACTGTGCGTTTGCACGGAGGGAGCCTGTTGGCAGACACTGTTAGAATCTGAGATATAGTTTTTCATATATATTAATATGCTGCAGTTAGGGAGTGTGTGGGAGCGCGTGTGTGTGTGTGTGTGTGTGTGTGTGTGCGCACATTCGTTAGCACATTAGTATATGCATATATGGACCCGGCCGTTGGTGTTTGTGCACCTTGTTAGCAGAGATATTAATAGTCGCAGCTCTGTGAGGCAGGGAGAGGTGTCAGTGAGAGATCCGTATTCTGCCAGAGAAGTATTCCCTTAACGCAGTCAGCACTGACAGATAACCTGAGGAGTGGATTCAAAGAATCAGGAAGCAAAAATGTTTCTTCTAGTTCTCGTTTTTTCTCTGTCGTTCTCCCTCTCTGACTCTCCGTGTCACGCTTGCTGCTTTTTGATGCAGTTTGCCCTCCATATATACTTGTTTTCTTATTGTGCAGATTACCATTCAGCAGATTTGATAATTAACTCCTCCTCATCCCCTCCACCCTTCCCTTCGTGTCATTGTTTCCCTTTGAACCTTATCTTTCTCCTTGTGTACCTTCTTCCCTCCTCTCACTTGTTTTCTTTTGCACCGCGTGTGGCTCTGCGGTCTCCTCCCCTTATTTGGGCTCCTGCTGTCTCTCACCTTTCCCTCTGATTCACCTCTTCTCTTTTCCATTTTCATCTGTCACTCTTGTCCCCCCCCCCGGTCTCCTTCCCACTAGGTCGGCGACGAAATCTTGGAGATCAACGGCGAGAGCACCAAGGGCATGAAGCACGCGCGAGCCATCGAGCTCATCAAGAATGGAGGCCGGCGAGTCCATCTGGTGCTCAAGAGGGGTGACGGCTCTGTGCCTGAATATGGTGGGTCAATCTACGAAAACATTCCCTTCTCGCCCATCTTCACACCCTGAGCCAGGGGACACTCAAGCGGATGGTGGTGGGTTGAAGGTGAAGGAACTAAATCGCTCCCCCTCCCCAAGGATCCTTCACCCCTCCCTGGAGCAAACCTATCAGGGATGGGAGAGGGGAGTCAGGGGGGTGGGGGGTGTTGCTTCGCGCTTTTGGTCTCTTTGTGGTGGCGGTCACTCCTGGGCTTTTTTGGGATTTCGTGGGAGAGCGAGGGGGTCGAGGCTGCTCCTGTGGGTGCTCTCACCCCCTCCTGCTGTCACCTGCTCTCAGTTTTGTCATGTCATCTCGCTGTCACTTTTCACCTTCTGGGCACTGAGCAAAATCACTCTGCTGGGACTTAACAGGAAGGTGGTGGGTCTGATTTTCAGTGCTACATGGAAAAAAAAAAAGGAAACTGTTTACAGGGTTTGACCTGAGTAGTAAAGAAAAAGGAAAGAAAATCAATGTTTCTTGTGGGTGAGAAGTAATATGGATGTCTCTCATTTCTCATTACATGCTAATTTAGCATTAAAAGGAAGAGAAAACTTGATCCGTGGCATCCCGTGATAAAATGGGACCTTTCACAGCTTTGGATAGGATGTGACAAACATATTTATGATATTTATTGAAGGTGAATGTAAGCTACTGAACTACTTTCTAAGTGAGAACTGTGTTGCGAAGAAAAAGACAGTCTAAGGCTTTTTTTTCCCACTTTGCCATTTTCAGTAAATCTCACTGTACTGTGCTTGACATAACTCACTCATCCATGGACTTTTTTTTTGCACCCACTGTCAGTGTTATGGAAAAGCTGTGAAGATAGGGACTCCACCCATCCCCGTTTAAAAAGACGTTGATTCGTTCCAGTTATATTAACTTTTTATAGTGATGATTTAAAAAAAAAAAAAAAAAAGAGGCATTTTTACAAGTATTTTTGTTCAGTGTACAGAGCCATGAATCAAAGCCACATATTAATGGATAAAAGTTTATTGCTGCATGAACATGTCAAAAGTGTAAATTGTTTTTGGTTTTTCCCCCTTCTATTGTCTACTTTCCATAATATTTATGGAACATTTCTTTCTTTTCTGTTTTCCTTTTTTTTTCTAATCGTATTGATTAGTTTTGATAGTCACGAGTCATTTTAAATGTTTTCTTTTTCATTTTGTTGCTTTTTTTTGAGTGGATACATTTTGCCTGTTTTGAAAAGTTCATCAATGTAAAGTTTATTTGAGCTGAGAATGTGCTGTCAAAACCTGCACCGATGTGACATCATGTGAACTTGTATATTTTGGATCATTGTTTGTACTTTTTAAAAATCTTTATTTTTATTATTATTATTTTTTTTTTTTTTAGTTGGCACAACCTTTGACAGTCTCGCCAGTATTTCTTTTGATTTCTATCAGCACTGTAAAACTGCTTAATTTGCTGGTGTGCGTGTGCGTGCGTGTGCGTGCGTGCGTGTGTGTCTGTGCACCAGTCTCACTGTTTCATTTTTTTGATTTTCTGCTGCTTCTTCATTAACGTGTCTAGGCGTGTGTGTGCGCTTGTTTGTGGGTGGGTGTGGCAACTCCTATGTCCGATGTGTGCACGCTTGTTTCCAGGGGACTTTACTCTGTAACTGATGGTCTTCACTGGGTTTGGGCAACTTCCTGGACTGTCTCTTTATTTTGAATGAGTCGATGATCAAATAAACACATTTTTTTTCATTAAGAATCAACACTGAATAATTCTCCTTTTCTTCCTTCTAGTTGGTTCCATATTTTTCTAAACTACTGTGCTCTTCTTTTTTTCTTTCCTTTCTGTTTCTGTGTATCTTCCCTTTCCTCTCGTATTGTGCTGGGCTCTTGTCTTCCTTCAGGGATGGTCGCTCCCCATCTCACTGCATGTATGAGAAATGACAAGATGGGGGAGGCCTCTGTCCTCCAAAATCAGACCACGGTTTGTAGCTGTCCTCCCCTCTCATCTCGGCTCTCTCTCCCACTTCCTGTCTTCCTCTCTCTCTTCTTCTATGTCCTGATGTGCGTGGTGTCGCTTCAGTTCAACCGTGCCTGTGCGCTGCTTCATGCATACAAATCCATTCACCCAACTACATCTCCAGTGTCACCGCTGCCATAGCCGTTCTTTTGGATACTTCATTCATGTCCTAGTTGCAGTCAACCTGTTGGAAACAAGTCAAAAGTGAAAATGCAGATTATTTTATCTTTGGGAATTAGTTTTGATGCTTTCAGACCAGTGGTTCTCTTTGGGAGTCAACTCTTCTCCTCGAGTTGTCCATGATCCATTGTTGAAGGTCTCCAGAATCATTTGCAGTACATTTTCAAACTAAGCTATAATGTTAAAAAGTGTATATCTACAGGTGGAGACTATTTACTCAATTGACAGGAGCCAGAGTTTTACTCCCACTCACTATATCTCAGGGCCGACGATGTGAAGTATTTAGAACAGTGAATGGTTCTTCTGCCATCTCAGCACTTGTAAAGTTTTGTCTTAAAAATGCCATATTGATCAAAGCATTGTTGTCGCAGCTTTTGTTGAAGATTTAGCAAGAGGAAGCTCTCCATACAGTTCTGTTTTTTCTTAGCAAAATGCTAAACTTCACCTGCTGCAACTGCAATGCACTTAGAGCAACTTCTAGTCTCTGGATCTCATCACGACCATTTAATTTATTCTAAAAATTTACAACGTTCCCTGGCAGTACATGAAAGAGCATGGCTAATGAGTCAAATCTAGCAGCATCATCAGTATGAAGCAGCAGTTGTAACCAGCCTCCGGTCCAGCCACCAGAGAAGCCGGCGTTCTGCTTCACAGAGGTGACTTCCCCCTTTAGACCAAGGAGCAGGTTTGTTGTGGGTTTCTTCAAGAAATGGCTGCTTCATAACTCTGTCACTGCCTTTTTTAATCTGTGTAAGCTACACTGTTTTACCATTGGCTGCTGCTGTGCCATCCAACAACTTGCCATCTTTGCTGGTATTAACATCAGAATGGCTTCCATTGAAAGTGTTCTCGGCTTCATGTCTGAGTGACTCAGCATGATAAATGTGAAAGCAGATAGAAGCTTTTAGTGTGTCGATGCATGTTTGATCCCCCTGCCCTCGTTTGTATGTCCCAATGTGTTGCAGACGACAGCACCAACAACATCAGCGCAGCCAACCCAGCCTCAGGGGTACAAAACGCTGCGGAAGTGAACACTCTTCCCCCGAACGGTGCACCATCAGAGTCAAGCGACCCACCAGAACCCCAACAATCATCACGCAGCAAGAAGGAGCCAGGCCGCCGCTCCCACGGCACTGGCAGGCACACACATTCCAACCACCGCCACCACTCCCCCAGCAAGAAAACCAGCACGGGAAAACACAAGGGCAAAAAGTCGACAGGGAAGAACACTCCCAAGAAGAAAGATGACAAGAAAAGTGATGGCCGCCATCGCCACCGCAGCCGCCATCGGTCACCTCATAAGGGGCACACCCGGTCTCGCAGTGCAGATAACGTCCTGGACGACCGACATGGGGGTCAGCGCCGAGGCCGTTCTCCAGACAGGCGCCACCGCCGCCACCGTTCACCCAACCGCTCGCCCCACCGCTCACCCCGTCGCTCACCCTACCGCTCTCCTCGCCGTTCCCCTTATCGTTCCCCTCATCGTTCCCCTCATCGCCATCGGTCCCCCTACCGCACTCGGCAGCAGTCCCCCACCAGACGCCGGGCCCAATCCTCAGACCCCTACCGCCGGTATCGCTCCCCAGAGAGACAGACCCGCAGCACCGAGAAGCCTATTGTGGATGAGCCTGTATTAAAGGAGCCAATCAAAACTCCTGAATCCACCTTCCGTCTGGAAGACAGCACCTTGCGAGAGTCCCCAGCCCTAGACCGCTTAAACAGGGAGGTCACACCGCCACTGCGCAGGGAAGACCGCCTCTATGGAGAAGATAGCCTGCTGATGAAAGCCTCTACCTTGGACAGGTCCTACAGAGGGGGGGATAACCTGCTGAAGGACATGGCGTCTCGCAACCAGAGAGACATCACCCTGCCCAGAGTACGCACTCCAGATTCAGATTCAGCTTACAAGAAGTACAGCACGCTGCTGAGGGGTCGTTCGACTGAGAGGTTTGACAGCACACAGCTGAGGGGTCGTTCGACTGAGAGGTTTGACAGCACACAGCTGAGGGGTCGTTCGACTGAGAGGTTTGACAGGGATGAGCGCTACCCCAGCCGAGACAGCACCCCTGAACCTTGGTACCGCTCCCGCAGTCTCGGACGAGACATATCCCCGATCAGGAGCTTCAGAAGGGACGACTCGGAAGATGAAGAGGACGATGACAATTTTGTGGCGGCTCAAGTGACGCAATACTACAGCACGGTCAAGAACAAGACCAACACCAGTCGCTCATCCAAGCCCACGCTCCCTGAGCCCAAGAAGACCTACAAGGAGAATCCCAAAGACCTGAGCATCTGATTGGACAGCTGTCAGCTGATCACAGCAACCATCCACAAAACACCTCAAATACTCACCATCACTACCACTTTGTTCTACAGAAACGCACCCAACTTGTGTAGACATGCTGACACACACACACACACACACACACACACACACACACACACACACACACACACACTGTAACAACACTGAGTTACTAACAAGGTCGTAGTTTTGAAAGCTGTTTTTTTTTCCTCTTTTTTTTTTTTTTAAAACTGTATATTTGATTTTCTTTGTTTTCTCATTTTGTTTTGGGGTTTGTTTGTTTCTTGTTTTTTTTTTGTTTCTTTGTTTTGTTAAAGTATTCTACATTTACAGATACTCAGACTTTTCCAGAAAATATAAAACCATAAAAAACAATGATGTGCCTAACAACAGTTCCATTAACAAACAACATTTTTGTTTCGGGTTTGATATGTGGAGGGCAGTTTGTGTGCCCCACTGTCAGATGATGAAATATATGTACTTTTCCACAAAGATCCCTTGGAAGTACTGCGCACCTGGGTCACCATAACAGGTGCTCACAATGATGCTGTGCATGTCTTTACCGGTTTCAATGTCTCTCTCTCTCTCTCGCTCTGTCTCTCTGTCTCTCTCTCTCTCTTGCCTTCGTACTCTCTCTCCTTCCAGTGCCACTGTTTTTTAGACATTTGACCAGACTATAGCACAAGCCTGCATTTGTTTGTATATTTTTGACAGTTTGCAGTATGTGTACATTCAGAGGTGATCATTTTAAATGAAGGAAGGGAAAATGAAAAAGTTAAACTATGATGATGATGTTAAAATAAAATAATATATTCAACAAATGAACAGTTGTTTTATCTTTTTTCTCCTTTGTTATTGCCATTGGAGTCATTCTGGGATTGATTGACCTGCTTAAGTAACATGAAAAAAATGCAGATATTGGATGGGAAGAAAGATGTACACTAACAGCTTTTTTTTTTTTTTTTGAGCTCTCATTTTGCCAGGCAGAAAACAAAACAGTGGGGAGACTAACATTGTTATCTCAGCCCTGCCAAAAGTGCATGCATATAGATAAAGCCTTTGAAGAAAAGTAAAGCAAAGAGCTTCTGTCCTTTCCCCAACATCAAAGCCCAAAAGGACGATCTTAAAAATGTTCCTTCACTCCTCTTCACAGCTTACTTTGATTTGTGCCTTTTCAGTGCCCTCTTTCTCCCATCGCCCTCTACGGTCCTTCCCCTTCCTCCTCCATCCACTCTTGTGGTTGCGAGATTTGTCATTTGATACAGAACAAACAGCGGGGATGCTGCGTGTCTATTTCAGGACGGTGACGGCAGAAGGAAGGTGGTGATGCTGGGACAAACAATGTGGAGATTAGATAAAAACCAAGTAGTCACCCTGGGTGAGCGGTAAATACCAATGCACAATATACTTCACCACGGCAATAAAAAACAAAACCCTGAAAGATACACAAGTGCATTTTAACCTCTTTAACATTTCCTAACATTCAGTGATAAGAAATCGGGATGACCTCTCATATCTACCTTCTTCACACTCTAATTTAAGGCATGAGATGCTCATACAGCTTTGTCCCTACACATTAGGACAATGACACCCTTTTGTGTTGCACCACAGTGGATTTAATTTGAACCGACTTCAGCTTTAATTTACAAAAAGAAAAAAGGAATTTTCACCAACTTCTCAAAGGCCTCAAAGGTGATTATGGTAATAAACAGGAAATAAATCTGTTTTTAATGATAAATCCTTCAAGTCTAAAACTCATAGATGTCACCAAATGTTTCCTCCCTCAGGCTGAAGGTGGCTGTAGTCAAGGCAGACTTGGCAGTTGAATAATATCCCATTTCTTTGCCTTGAGAAAGTCTTGGATTGTTTTTGCAGTATGCTTTGGATTACTATCCATCTGCACTGTGAAGCAACGTCCGTTGTTCTTTTTCACAGCATTTGGATGAATCTGAGCAACTTCAGAATTCCTCCTGCTACTTGCTGCTGTCAACAGTCAGGAAAAAACACTAGTCACCCAGCTCCACTGGCAGGCACACATGCCCGCACAGCCTCCACCTTGTTTGACAGATAATGTGATATGTTTCAGATCATGATGTGTTTTTTTTTCCTTCTCAATACTGTTTTCCTCCCACTATTTCCCATCATGTGGTTTCATCTGTCCAAAGCTTGTTTTTAGATGAAACTCTGTATTCCAATTTCCGAAGGAGTCTCTTTTACAGTGATATGCCTCTCTGAGTGTTCTAAAAGTTATGAATGATTTTCATTACCGAGGAAAGAATTTGCAGTCATCTGCTTCAGTTGTCTTCTGTGTCGTCCATTTTTGCGATATTAGGCTTTTTTTTTTTCTTTGCTTTTCTTTAAATTTTATTCAAATTTATCTTTATTCGGTCTCTTGCGTCAGCCTCACTTTGAATCTCGTTTTGAGAGTTAAAAAATGTAAGACTTGGAATCAACTCTGAAATGAAATGGCAGCAGCAGGCCTCACCTGTCTATGAAACCCCTTGTCAGTCAATCGTCCCATCGCTTTAGAGCTCACTATTGAAATGGCTGTCGTTCTGGTTTGTTTGCAAGCTGAAAGCCTGCACTTCAGTCGCATTGATCGTTTGCTTTTAAGCCCACTTTGCTGTTGAAAAAAAAAAACAGATGAGCCAGGAAAAAGAAATGTTATGGAGCTAACTGTATGTTTACACAAATATGGGGAGAATTTAAGATTTTCTGAGCTTGCATCATATGAAGTTTGTGCTTTTTCCTGCAGCACATGCCAAGGTACTTAATGCCATATGTTCAAAAATCTGCATTCAAGATTACCCTGTGGACACAATCTGTGCAGCTCATAAGAGGAAATGTGAAACAGAGTTAAAGCATCGTGATCAAACGGTAACATATCAGAGCTTTTTTCTGGCCCAGTTTCTGTGCAATTCAAGGGAGCCTCAATGCATTCCACTCCTTTTGATGCAATGATCTGAAACTGTTTTTGCATAGCTACATTTATGGGATGTGCACTAGTGTGGAAGCATTACATGGAAATTCTTCGGCTCACTTTTTAGTAAGTGCAAAAATCCAAGTTGCAAATATCCATTTGAGTATATTTAATGCAGGCTATACGATTTGCATTGTTTTCATTGGATGCCGACATTTTTCCCTATTAGAGAAGCATGTGTTATTTAGTATTTCTACAGAATACAGAGGGCTGGAGTTTGTATCCTGCAAACACATTTCTCTTCCCTGTCCCCTCACAGAAGAGGAAACCATTCCTAAATAATGGATGCAATCCACTTTCCAGCACCGAAAATCTCTTCTCCCTTCTCTTTAAATATCTCTGCCCCCTCTTTATCAAGACCTATTCCACTCTCCATCATCTGACGCAGGAGCAGAGCCCCTGGTTTTATTTCTTGTGTTATCCCAGAAATGATTAACAACACGTGTCTTGGGACAATTTATCATGTCAGTGTCAGGCAGGAGGAAGCAGCAGTAATAAAATGTCCAATAACAACATGAGTGTTCACTGACAGCCTCTTTTCTCCCATCAGCTAAGCTTCAGGTGCTCTTGCTCTGACCTTAGAGATCCTCTACTGCCCTGTTGCCATGGCAACACTAATGCAACGGGCTCTTCCCTTAAGCTGACAGCAGACAAGAATTGTAGACGTGCACATATGAAGGCTGGGGGGAGAAGAGAAAACAACAGCACTGGGTTATTTTTGGCTGTGTGCTGAGGATCAAGATGATTTCACTTAGAAGAAAGAAAAAGTTTCACAATTGTATTTATTTATCTTTTTCAAAGAGTTAAGGCTATCTATTCAAAAGCAAAGTGTGAGGAGCCTGGTCCCAGCTGTAATCAGTCAGTTAAAAAATAAATCCACAAGCATTGTGTCAAATAATCAGCAGCGTAGAGCTAGCTAATGCATAATTGGTGTTTTCTTTCCTTTTCCTGAACAGTCCTGTTTCCTTGTGTGAGATTATTATACTATCTTATGCCACCTTATACTTCTAATCAAAGAATTGTTGAATCATTATACGGCTACAAGCCACATTATGCCTTGGATTAAAGATTGTGAAATCATTACACTGTTTTATGATGCATTATACTGCTGATTTATAAGAAATACTGTTTTCAGAGAATCATGGCCTTATTTGTCTGATTAGAAAGAACAGAACATACTGCACAGGAAGCCGAGGTCATAACTTAGGCTCACTGAGAGAGAAAGAATGTGGATGTTTAGGTTTTATGACTTTGGAGGGGGCTGAAGCTATAAGAATTACAAAACGGTTAGACACTTCGAGATCTGACGGACACCCTCCTGTCCACTTCTCCCATCTGGACGTTTGTAATGCTCAAAGTGTTGTATGGAATAAAGAGATTGTTGACTGAGCATTTATACACACAGTGTGTTTCTTCCTTCAGCCCAAAAACCAAAGAATTGGGATATTTAACACTTGCTAATTTGTAGATAGAACTTGACATTTAAAAAAATTTCAAAATTGATATTTTATATGCCAAAAAAACTGTTTACTAGCTGTGTTTTCAATCATTATATATGCTTCAATGCTGAGTACAAGAAGTAGTTCTGTAATTGAGGGTGTGTATATTCTTCCATGTGTTTTAAAATGCTCACTAATACATAGACTGTATATAAAAGATGGATATATCCAGCGTGGCATTGCCCGGATGATCTGATATTGTCGTGTTGGTGTTGTTCCTAGATCATCATGAAAATGTTGTTCCAGGTTCAACATTGCAAGTGACCAATCCCAAGCCATTTGTGCATTTATGAAATTCCAATGTTGCAAGGACAATATTAATTCTGCTTACCGTTTATTAATGGGTCAGGGTTAGGATCAGGGTCCGTTGATCGGCGGACAGAGGTGGTTTCTCGCAGCTTAAGTACAGTTTTTTGTTTTACGGCGGTTTTTCCCGAAGTCGCAAAAGTATGACGTCACAACATTCTGATTGGTCACTTGCAATGTTGATCCTGGAACAACATTTAGTATGATGATCTGGGAACAACACCAACACGACGATATCAGATCGTGCGGCATTGCCCAGTGGTTTCTGTGGTCTACATTTTGAATGCAGACCTAGATATTAATATCTGTGGCAACTGCCTTTCCCATTGGTAGAACTTTAGGTTTTTGAGGTTGCATTGTTGGTGAGCTGCTCCATTTTCTACTTTATTCCAGACTAAACTATCTCAATACTTTTTAAAAAGTCCAAAATGTTTTATATAGTCCAAAGATAATTCCCCAAAATACAGCCCCAAACCATCACACAGCATGTTTTACAGATGGCTGTAAACACTCACTGTTGTACTTCTTCTCTGGGCCTTTGTACCACAAAGTTCAAATCTGGAGACATCGCTCCATCAGACTTGTTGTCTCTGATTTTCGCACCAGCTCTTGGTGTGAAAATCAGTTTCTCCTAGTTTCCCTTCCTTATGAATGGCTTATTGTCAGGCACTCTTTCAATGAGACCATTTCAGAAAACAGTCGATGAATCAACTTACGGGCCAGATACATCTCTCAGGTCCTGTGTCAGGTCTTTGCTGTTTTTTCCTATTCGAATTCTTAAAGGCCTGACTTTCAGTATGTTTCGATCCAATCAGCTGTTCATTACACTTCCCACATTGAAATAGACGTCAGCATGAACAATCGAATGTTCGCCATTACCTGCCCGAAACCGGAAGTGACGTCATTTTCGCGGAAAATGTTTTTTTTTTTTTACTTGTAGCCCCTAGAAGCCTATACTGGTGTTTTTATAAGTCATGTTTAACTTTATGCTTTTCTGAATAGTTTCTGGGATGCTTAGAACTCAAATTGCACTGCTTAAAATAGTTTATTTTGATGCACATGCTGTTTTCTTTGCAAATTTGCATCATAAGATTGTTTTTCGTTTTTTCTGCAGTATATAAAAATTTGTGTATCTCAAAAATAAAACTATGAAGCCAGTCCAAATAAATTTCCTGTTG